AATTGCAGGGATTGACACATCTGAATTGGAAAATATTTTGCGCTAAAGTCTAAAATTTGTGATACGATTTTGCTTACTATTTCTTCAAATAATCTGTTTGCCCACTGGAAAAATTCGATCAAAGCACAACATCAGGTCTGGCAAAAAAGCACTTGGAATAACAGGCCATCATTTTCACTTTCGCTTTGTCTTCGTATTCTTTTTCTTCTGCTTCTTGTCTTCTGTAATAATGGTATGTTTCGCTTTTCAGGCAACTTTCATTTATCGATACTAACGCAATATTCTAGCTCCATTTTTTTGGATCCAATTATTTGGTCTTAGTGCAATTATAAGAAATATAGGTAAAAAGAAAGTCCACTGATAACGACAAATTATCTGACAATTATCTATTATCTGACACTGACAAATGATAACAACGACAGAAACAGAAACTTTTCTATAATCAACGGACATTCAAACAACTATAAACACAATTTTAATGTATTCGACGTCGAGATTGTTTTAATATCATTAATTAATATATCACTAAGGGAATTTCATTACGCTTTCAGTGGTTTTCTAGTAGCAAAATGTTGAAAATAAGAGTCAAAAAAGGGATTTGGAGTAGTTCCATAGAAATGAAAGAATTTAAACTGAATTTATAACTGCATTTCAACATGGAAAGTCTACATATAATTTATTATTTTAATCGTTAACTTGGCTCAATACAAAATATGAAACTAGTTTTTGCCTTTTTTTTATAATTTACCTCCATTTTGTTCGTCTATTTTGAAACCATGTTTTAACTTGCATATCGCTCATTTCTAGCTGATTGGCTAAGTTCACTCGTTCGGTACTTGCCAAATATTTCTGCGCGAGAAATCTGGATTCCAGTGATGCTACCTTAAATTTAAAAAGAACTATTGTGATTTAAAAAATGTTTAACAGATAATATCGAATCATAATATATGCATGCAAATAGCAAATGATAACAGGATAAGAAATATTCCAATTAATACGCTAAATTGGCATAATTAATATAATACGAAATGAATAAAATATTTAAAAGCATCAAACTGCTTAAGTGAATATTAGTGATGGAATAAATTTGCGTAATACTTGCAACTAATTAATTATTTTAGTGAAAGAGATTATTAAAACTATCTAATAATTTAGTCTTCGGGCCCGTCTTTTTTGATTGGTAGAAAATGACAGCAAAAAGCTTGTGGTGCATGCCAATATATTTAAAATAGCCATTTTTTAGATGCTCATACGTTTAAATCATTTGGTTTCTTTAAGTAACATTTTGCAGATTCTCAGCTTGCTATGAGCTTCTGAGAATAAGTTGTTTTTGTTCATTTACTGTCATTTTTGTCCTGTAGAGTGACCTTTTGCGCATGAATGGAGAAAAAAGTATTATAAAAGGTGATTATAAGAAATTCTGTGGGTTGTGTTTGTTAAAAAGATATGAGGAAGACTGAAAAAAAGAAATTAAATTGAAAAACAGACCTGTTTTTTAGTAAAGGACGTACGCGGTTTCTTATGTCCTGCTAGAATTCGACTCTGGTAGGAATGCCCGGTAGGTCGTGGTATCGTTTTTTGTGGCTTTGCAGAATCACTTCCTGTACTACCTATGGTTGTGCATCCGAGAGATGCAATAACTATTGGAAAAGATGAAGGATTTTTATCAGAACAGAATCCATTATGTTCGTAATTTAAATTAATGTGTGATACAGTTTGCTTGTTGTCAGCTTTTATAATTTTTGGATCAAATAAGTCAGAATTGAAAGGAAAACACAGTGGATTTGAAGAATTAGCAGGCAACTTTCCAAATTTTATGTCGGATAAACTGGTCGAGTTACTAAATTTGCTAGACTGAGCAAGTCTATTCGACACAGTTACCGAAGTAGAAGCAAATCCGTATCGTATCGGTGAATATTGTGCAGAAAAAGGAATATGATTGTAGTGACGATAATTCTGAACTTCTATGCCAGAAGCTAATAGTGGATAATGGATGAATTTAGAGAGATTAAGAGAAGGAAGCAAAGATGTAACTTCGAGTGCAGCCTTTATACTTTGATAAGGAAAGTGATATGGAACTGTGGAATCAGTGATAGAATATTGAGGCAAACAGCCTTTATCGCAACTTGTTCTAGGAAGATTACTTTCGCAAATTGGTCGTTCCCATTCGGAAATTTTGCATTGTTTATCATCATTGCCCAGAATTGTCTGGATAGCGAACGGTAATTTATTGGTTGATACGGTAGCAATGGACATGACAGGAAACAGTAGTATGAAGTCAAAACAAAATGGATCTAGAAATGATACGATCTAAATGCACGGCTAAAGAAGGAAAAGCATTATTAGATGAGATAAAACGTCTTCTAATCGACTAGTACCTGACCAGTTTTTTGAATAATATCTCACTTGTTCACTTTTTTATTTTGTTATACTGAATGGAAAAGAAGAAATGTGGAATAAAAGCTGGTACTTCAAACTTTATATATTCTTTAGCGGATCATAAGCGAGCACTGTTTAGTGAAACTAAATTTTGAAATTTTATATAAAATTAGGGAACTTTCATACTTCATGTCATGAGCAATGAATAATGAAGTTAAAAAACAAAGAATATTGTATTTTAAAAGTTTATTGAAGAAAGTTTGAAATTAAAATAAAGGAAGTGGCAATATATTGCTAAGTGTGCATATTAAAGATATCAGCTGCCGTTTTACCTAAGCAAGGACTTCCACTGAGACAACTAACTTAATTAACGACCAATTTGTTTCTATTACTCGCTTTTCCAAGCAACCATTCATTTCATGAAATTGAATTCAGTTTAATGTATTTGTTAATAATAGAGGCCATTTATGGATTATTGTACCAATATTCCTGATATCGCAATCCTTCCGCTGTTACTTCTCAATCTTAGAAATGCTTCCCAATTTCATCATTTCAAATAGAAAGCATAAAAGATGCAAAAAGATATGATAAAGTGAAACACAAAGGGAAAAATAAATAAGTGATTAGTTCTATAAATTAAAAATATGGACATTTTTATCTCTAAAATGTTCATTATCGTATTCAATATGTACGCCTTCAGTACCAATGTAAATAAAAAACCTTTCAGTGCCTGTTGATTTATGAAATGGAGTTTAACATTTCATAAGTTTTAATATAGTTGGCACTTCTGTAGTTATGATCAATCATGTGAGCAAATAAAAACATTAAAAGAAGCGATTATTTGCTTATCATCCCTTTTCTCTCATTAGTTAATTTATAAGATTCGAAATATTACAGAACGATGATAAGGAAAGTCCATTTAGGATAACAGCCTAGTAAGGAAAAAATTATCGTAGATAAAATGTGGAAGCAAAGCACTACTACCGTCTCACTTATCATATTTTTAAAAATTTCCTAAATGTCGCAGATTGTTTAGAAAGAGACGGTATGATAAAAGCAATCTAAGTATGCATAAATGTTAATGTTAGAGGTGGAATTATCACATGGAAAAGTAGATTATCATTTATTCATGAGGACCAGTATGAGAACAAAGATGCAATTCAAACTGGACTCAGTGTCCTTCAAAGCCTTACCAAGTGATAAAATTAAAAAAAAGATGTGAGGGTCAGTTTGTCAACTTCTTTTAAAAGCTTTTATTCAACTTTATCCGACATGCGATTGCATAACAAATAGAGGACGAATTAATAACCAAATTGTCCTAACAGTCTTAATAGCTCGAATTGGAAAAAAATTTGAGAGCAATTAGTCAGAAATGGCTTCATACGTTAGTGATAATCTAAAAATTAGTGAAAAAAAAATCACTGAAATAATTAATTAACCTATGAAGAATAATAAAGAAATGTTTCTCTTTGATAGTTTTCATTAATACGAGAAAATTTTTCGGTTAATTCATGTAAATGCGACTAATGTATGTTTGACTTTGAATAGCAAAACATATTAAAAACCTCACGGGGAATGGGAAGTGGTAATTCCTATTTTCGAAAAAACTATGGGAGAGATAAATACCAGAAAGTGAGTATATTTTCTTATTGCATGTTTAGATCATACATGTATTGCGGAGATCTTATAACGAAAATTCCATCGAAAAGATAAAACAATCTATAGAGGAGGTGATTGTGTTGTAAAGGTGTTCCTTATAAGAGTGATGATTTTAAAAAAGCTAAAGGAAATGCTAAGAGAAACAGTGAAAAATGGTCGTTACAAGTGTTGGATTGAGGTCGTTATGAGTGTTGGGTTACAGTTTACGATCAGTTCTGGGCAATTAAGAAACACTTTATTTAGTTGCCACTTTACTTGCGGGCTATAACCCGCCATCGACGCCCCTATACGTGTATCTTATTTGCGAAAGGAGAGAGAAAAAGGAAAAGAATTAAACAGTCAATTAAAACGGACGAACTGAAACAGAAAAAAGTAGTAATTTCTGCTTTCGATAACAGGAAATTAAAGTCTTTTCGACGTCGTCTCAGCAAATGATTGACGAAAAAGGAACCTTTCAACAATGGCTTTTAGTACCTCTTTGGCGAGAGATACGCATGCGCATCCGCAATTACACCTACCGTATCGTTTCAATTGGCATCGTGTCCACAAGACAGCTCGAAATATCGTCATACTGTAAATTCTGGAACGATAATATCAATTTGTTTTTGCGGTGCAATTGACCACTGTTACATACTGCAATCCATATTATTTTTTATGCGTTTTTGATTTTGCATGTATTGATTATTGCGTCAAATGGAGATATTTGTTTATAATCTTAATCTGACGAAACTGATTTCTGATAGTGAATTAGTTTTTGGATGATGGTAATCTCTCACCTCTTCCTCAATATCGTGAAATAATTCGATGCTTCACGGATTTTATTTAGTGATTAATTCTATTAGAAAATGGCGGTTATTCTATTCAACAGAAACCTATTTGAAGTCGTTTTTTTTGTTGGATGAAAACACCTTAAATTAATCGAAAGTAAGGTGATATTTTGAAAAATTGCAGGTTTAAATTAATGGTAGAACGCCAATTTCTCCTCAAATTCCTTGGTCCAAAAATATTGCTACTAATGAATACCAAAAATTGCTCTAATGGAGTGCATTGTAAGTTGAAACAAATAACTCAAGAGAAGACAATAACATTGGTAATATTATGTTAATCTTAGTGATACGTTGGCTTTGATGATACGTTAATTGCGGTAATGAACACGAAAAGATTAAGAAACATATTCTTTGAAATTAATTACATATTATCATTATTTAATTCCTTAATACTCACCAACTCATACATGTTTATATATGAAAATGATTTGATGCTACTGCACAGTGCATTTCTTGTGCAACCTTCAGATTTTGATACAGTTATTAAATAAAAAATTATTAATTGCAAATGACTTATAACCTAACAATATCAGAGTTAAAATTTTAATGAAAGCGTGCTTATATGATGAAATGGCATCAAATATCGACATGCTACCAGGAGCAACATGAAATGTCAGAATGCTTGTTTCCTATAAAGTACCATCAAAAATGATATTATTTCACATTCAATGTGTTACTTTGAGAACAAACTTTTAGCTCTTTAACTTTATAATTCAAACTGTTCATAGCTTTGAAATTTCAACGAATATCCCCAAGTTACATTTATTCGGTTTAGCAGATGTATATCGTAACATACTTCAAGGCTTTCCAAAAAGGAAGATGTTGTCGCAATAGTCAATGAGTCATCCGATTTGTATCAAATTTTCATAACTTCGAGGAAACTGTTGACAATGACCAATGAATAATCATAACAGTACCAGATAATGCATTGCACTGCATGAAGTGATTTGATAATCCCGGTGATATTTCAATCATATCAGGCGCAATAGAATATAGCTTATACATTCGGAGCACTAAAGGCTTTCCAGATGTTCTTGAATTGAGAAATTCTATTTTGATAAATCAGTTACTTATATTTTTTCCTTGAGTTTGTTTTATAGAATGTTATTTTCCTTTCTACAATTAAAAATCATAATTGGATCCGACTAAAATTAGTAATAACTAAAAAGGTTTCAAGCCAGTACATATTACTATGGAAAGCAGAGTTCATCTAAATTGACAATTGTCCTGATTTAATAAATAGGCCGATCAATAACGTTGCTGATAAAGAATTCAATTCGATCCTTTTTATTTAACATACCCATCTGAGGATTCTGATTGCAATCTATGGTTCACAATTACGAAAATCAACAAAAAAGGAAAGAATTAATGCAGAAGATAGTGTGAAATATATGTGAAAGGGATGAGAGATGGAATTTGAATTTTATCATATTAGAATGTGAAATGTGGAGCTTTCCTTTATGGTCATAGAAATGCATTTTAGGTAATAAAATGTTGTAGCAGAGGTGAAGTTGTCAGCAGAGAAATGTTTTAATAGGCGTAGCATGAAGTCGACATTTAATTGAGCGAAAAGGAGGAGTAGGAGTGTGGTATAGGGGAAACATCGGGAAACATCGAAAATATGGGGTGTCTATCGTCATTCGTCATTCCCGTTGTAATTAGAGATTTGTCTCATTAATTCAAAAAGATCATTATTCACTATTCCTTTTTCATCCATTTACACTACTTCTGCCATTAAAACAATACTATTTCCATTGGCATTCAAACGGCTCGATTCTATTAACCTAACCTTTCGGGATCATTCAACTTTTTTCTATCCAAATGTTTAAATCATTTGCTGTTTTAAATCTGATAAGTTACATGATAGAGAATCATCAAGAACAACACTATCTTTTGTTACTTTTGTTAAAGTTAAGCAATTTTCTTCGATGTATCTTTCATTGAATGCTAAGCAGTGTAGATGATTCTGATTTAGGGACTTATTTTTAAAGAATGAATAATAGTTTTAGGATTTATTCTTATAGAGTGAATAAAGGGACCTTAATTTCAAAAAAAATTGATTTCATCATATTACCAACATAGCAACGGGTGGATTGATTAATGTCAGAACATTGAGGGTTGATTCCTTTAAAGATGATAATGTTGCATGACACTCGATTAATACCTAATGGTCTAGACTGCTGGCAGTTTTACAGATAAATAGGCTGAATGAAGCTTTTTGATTGGCATCTGATTCCCAAAATGCTAATTAACATATGCTATCGTGAACGTGCCACACTCCATAAAACGTTCAAATCGTGCCGTTTTTGCTATTGGCATTTTTTTTGCAGAATTCTTGGAATTCCATTGAGGAAAAACATTTCATCTGTATATTCATTTGTGAATATCTTA